TTTGGTTTTTGGCCCTTCATAGGAAAAATTTTGGGCACCCCTGAAATAGAATATCAGTATGTTGGCTTTCTCAATCCACCATAATTTGTATTTTGGAGCTGCACTAAAATCCTGATTATTATTTTGTTACACTGAATGGCAATTTAATGCATTTCTTCATGCACAATAGTATTTTGTTCTCTTAAAAAGATGCATTCTACCGCACAGGTCCAAAAATAAATAAATAAACCCACATTACCATTTAATCATTTTGATAATTGCAAACCTTCTCTATGTCTTGACCCTGAGACATTTCGTCACCTTAGAATTTTAAGGTTCTATCTGACATTTTTGTCAAAATTGAGATATTGACATATTCTAAATGACAGCTTAGTTACATTATGGGATGTTTTTTTTGTAGGTTATTTACATTTTAAAACTTTATTTTAAAAAACAAATGTTTCACACAAACTGTTTGCTATATGAAATGCAAAAACTTTAAAGCTTATTATCTCAAAATAATTCAGAACGCAGATAACCTTATAATTCCAAGGTGACGATTTAACAATAAATAAAAAGCAAGTTAAAGATCAAAAACACATAAAAATGAAAACTTCTGCACTGATTAATGCAAAATAATTCCTCAGCCTCAAGAATCTGTGCATGAGGCGGTTTTCTCTAACTGTACTATTGACATGTAATAAGCATGACGAATGTGACGGAGACGTGATCGGTGCGAGGGTCACGCTACCATTACTCACTGCTAATGACTTCAGCTCTATATATACACACACCAACACTTGACGGACTCGTATATAAACAGCCGTCCGTGCAACACGAGAAGCGCTTTAAATGTGCATTTACACAGGAACATCACTCTTGTGAATCCTAATACTGAGCGAGCTGCCTTGAAAGTGCTCATCTGAGACAGAAAGACTGACAGACGAATGACTTCTGCTGAAAAAAAGTGCTGAATAAGATCTCTAGAGACATGCAGCGAATCGACCAACACACATATATACTGTATATACTGATACCGGAGATGGTGGAAGAATAGATCGATTAACCAGAAACTAGACGGCTTGAGAAATAACGGTTGCTGTTCTCACTTGATTAATACTTTCCACTAGAATCAATATCCTGATTACATTTGTTCATATGGTTTAAAGCTTTTTTTTTTTTTTTTTTTTGGACTTGGTAGCGCTGAGAAAAATGGATTTTCTGGTGACATATATGTAATATTTGTTCAGTAGGTTTACTGGATAAAAACATTCCCATTTATAGAACTAACAGACTGCAAGTTGCTGTTTGTTTTGTGGTGCCACTCCCACATTTCAAAATTAAGCCAATTACTGGAGGACTCAAGCTAGTTCCCACCTAATCTCCTTTTTTTTATTGTTGTTGATGCATTGAAAGAACATACCTTTTTGTGTAGTCAAATCTAATGAATTTACTCTCATATTTTTTAATTATTATATTATCAAGGATAGCTAGAATTGTCAGTAAATATTTAATGTTTACACATTTACTTCATGAAATGATTGGAAAGAGTTAAATAAGAATATTCATTTACTTGTAATTTTTAAATATTTTCAATCGTTGCAAACCTAGTAATATGTCAATTTAAATAATGGATATTTCGCATTGGATATGTGGTTCCCCAGTATGCTTTGCATTGGATTGAATTAAGAGGAGAATTTTTTTAAATAAAGAGCAACACGGTGACTCAGTCGTTAGTACTGTCGCCTCACAGCAAGAAGGTCACTGGTTCGAGTCCTGACTGGGCCTGTTGGCATTTCTTTGCACGTTCTCCCCGTGTTTGCATGGGTGCTCCAGTTTGCATGGGTTGCTCACAGTCCAAAGACTGCGCTATAGGTGAATTGAAAGAACTAAATCGACCGTAGTGTGAATGAGTGTGTATGGATGTTTTACATTACTGACTTGCAGCTGGAAGGACATCCGCTGCGTAAAACGTATGCTGAATGAGTTGGCGGTTCATTCCACTGTTGTGACCCCTGATGAATAATGGGACTTAGCCAAAGGAAAATAAATGAATATTCTGAATCTGCTAATAAAAGCATCATTCCTAGGTGTTTAAATTTGAGAGAAAGACTTGTTAGAGTTTATTCTTCGTTAGTTTGAAGATTAAGAAGAAAGTTTTTTTTTTTTTTTTAGTTCTGAGGCTAGCACATTGCAGAAGAGTAGCACTCATGCTTTAGGTATTGGCATTTTATTATCAGCATTAATGTTTGACGCTTTAAAGAGCCATAGCTGTGCTAGCTAGGCATGGGACGATAACCATTTTCAAGGTATACCGTGGTTTGGAAAAGTCAAGGTTTTAAAACCGATCAAATTCTCTGATATATCGTATTTTAAGGTCAACAGTATCTCCAGCTAAAAAGAAATCCAGAGATGCCGTTTTAAATTGTAAAAAAATCGGTGTTTTAGAAACTAATGAAGACAGTAGAAGTCAATGATTGATTTGAATTATTCAGAGAAATATTTTAAATGTTTCTTAATATAAGATATATTGTGTTCAAAGTGGGAAAGGTTTGACTTTTTTCACCCAGACATTTAAAAAGAACATATTTTAGAACAGCAATCGCAATACTGTGAAACCGTGATATTTTTATCCAAGGTTATCATACGGTCAGAATCTTATACCGGCCTAGTGCTAACTAGCTCTGAGATCACTTAAGCATTTTAAAAGTAGATTTGCTCTTGGGTTCAATTAACTTAAAACAAAGTGAAAACACATTTCAAGTGGAAATGTGTGTTAATTAAACCAAATGCTCTTTGTAACTAGTAGGGTTTATTTAATTTATCTAAAACAATGTTCCCTCTTTTAAAACAAGAACGTGTTTACATGGACATCAGTAATCAAATTATTTGTCTTAATCTGAATAAGACAATAATGTGATTAAGGTGTTTACATGAGTTGCTTTTTGAAAGTTCCTTTCATGATCCAATTTTACAAGTTATAGCGCATAATTCGATTAACCCTTTCAGGCTCAAATTAAATTCTAGAAACAGGCAAAGTCTATGCTTTTAACTGTTGCAAATCAGCAACGCCTGCCTTGAGAGGGTTAACATTTCCTCTGGAGTTTCGTGTAATTTCGGGTGTTTCATTTTTAATTTGTCAACTTTAACTTCAGTTTGGCATTTTCACTTTCATTCAGGAACATTTCATGCATGCCCCCCATGACAAACGAGATATTGGATGCGAGTATGAACTGCTGGAGGAGTGTTGTTTTAATGGAATTTGATACCACACGCTGTATGGAAAAAAACTCTGCATTTCACGATACAGGTGTCTGTGGTCCTTCACTGAGTTGGTAGGTGAAGAGAATAGTGTCAAGTATGGGTCTCAAAATGTGGCAAAAATCCTACATGACGGTAATAGTTTGATAGCATTGTTTACATATCTGTACTGCTCTTCAATGTGACTAAACTCAGCATACTCCACATCCTTATTCAATTTCTGTTTAGTTCGATTATGACTTCGTTTGGATTAAGGAAATCAAAACTCGCTGATTACATGGTAGTCTCTTAATTAGAGTACTGTCTTAATCATAATAAAATCAGAGTATTGGTGTCCATTTAACTTTTACTTAATTTAGGAGTGGCGCAGTAGGTAGTGCTGTCGCTTCACAGCAAGAAGGTCGCATGTTCGAACCTCGGCTCAGTTGGTGTTTCTGTGTGGAGTTTGCATGTTCTCCCTGCCTTCACGTGGGTTTCCTCCGGGTGCTACGGTTTCCCCCACAGTCCAAAGACATGCGGTACAGGTGAATTTAGGAGTGTTAAGTTGAACCTCAAGTAGATTTTACATGATATTGACAAGTTATATGTATCTGATTTAAGATTTAGATCATTTGTTCGTGCAAATTGTTACAATGATTTTTTTAGTCTTAGAGTTATTTTTTTTTGTGTGGTCTGTTACACCATTTTATGTATTTTATTACTTTTATTTTAGACTAGATGATAAAACTATAGCTGAAATCAAATATATAATGTTACGTAATTACATTTTTCATAATTCTAAAATAATTAAATCACTATTACATAAATGTTTTAATTAAATTTTTTAGTGATTTTGATAAAATCATATAAATAAATTAGAAATATTTCCTTGGCAAATGAAATTAAATGTGCTTAAAGTATTAATTTTTTGTTTTTGTTGTTTTTCAGGTAAAATGGTTTTAGCTTTAACTCTACATGGCCTGATCACAACAATACAGTGTTTTAATTGGTTTTCTAAATGTACACTGCAATACAAATACATTCTTTCTTAGACGTTAGGTCTTATTTATTTAAATATCTAAAAGTCATTAAATCAAGAAGCATTTAGTTGATAGTAGTAAAAAAGCTGTCTTGTTTAAAAAAAAAAAAAAGTCAAAATCAAGTGAGTCTTAAAAAAAAAAAACCTTCAAACATGTTTAAACTCTCTTAATTTTAAATTGTGTTTTTTTCTCCAGAAAACAAGACAATGAGTTTTACTAGTCTAAGAAATCCTTCTTTTATTTAAGATTACTTTGATTTATGGAATTGAAACAAGACAAATTCTTAAAAATAATTTCTGCTGTGTATTTTTTATATTTCTGTTACATTAACCGCTGATGTTATGTTGTTCATTATTTATTATTCTTTTTCATTATTATTATATAGTGTTTGTCTTTTTTATATTTTAGTTTAGTTTTGAATGAAACTAAATTATTATATATATATTAATTATATTAATTATATTATTATTATAAATTAATTATTAGTTATATTAATACTAAGTTTTAAGTTAACATTAATTTCATTTTTTCATCTCAAATAACTCTAATAACCCTACAATATGGTAGAAAAGATCAAAATGCTACTGGTACTTCAATGTGACTGAGATAAAGGTCACACTTCCTGTTTTCAATTAATGTAGTGTTACTATACATTACAATTCCCTAGACATTTTGACCAGTCAGTTTCTATTTTCAGGATTGCAGTCATTGAGAATGACCAAAAAGAAAACAATCACATTATTATTTATAAATTGATTCATTTTAATCAACTGTATAGATAATAAAAATCACATTTGAAAGATTTTCCATAATAATCCAGCATGTTTAATAGTCACGATTGAGTGTAATTTAACACACAATCTACTGTATTTCAAGCTGGGAAGTGATAAACATGAGCTAGACGTAACACCAGCTATACTGTACACAGCTCAGTAATGCCATCTACTGGTAAAAATAATCAGACGTTCGCTTAATTTACTGCATGAAAACTTCAGTTTGACAAACCACATGAAATATATGAAAAATACATGTGTGCTGATTCAGTGACAGGCAGAGAAAAATGAAGAACGAATGAAATGCTGCATTATAGAAAGTTTTTGTTTAAGAAGTGGGCCAGAGCATGTTTATTTTATGTCTTCCAGCTAAAAAAAGAAAGAAAAAAATCCATGTTTTATGTTCTAATTAATTAGCTAAGGATACAGCAGTGGCACTTCAGTCAATGTAGAAGATCTCGCCGTTACACGACTGTGTTGCGTATCGATCCGATCTCATCAATCTGACACTCCACGACATCTCCTTTCTGAAAAACATCGTTAAAATCACTTCATTATACAATTATACAATACACTGACCTTCAATATAACAGCAATTATATTAGGGAATCAATAGAAAAAAATCTTAAAATAATTTCTGCCTCCTTAGGAGAAAGATTTCCACTATTCTCTTGGGAATTAATTCACTGGAAATTGGCTGTATTTTTAACAGAGAAAGAATCAATGCTCTTTAATGGGACAGAGATGGAATATACGTTTGTGTGTGTGTGTGTGTGTGTGTGTGTGTGTGTGTGTGTGTGTGTGTGTGTCTCACACACACAACTGGTCAAAAGTTTGTGCTTTTTGAAAAAGTCTTGCTCACCAAAAAAAAAACAAAAAAAAAGCATTAATATTCTAAAATATATTTACTATTTTAAATAACTGGAATTTGTTTATTTTTTATTTTATTTAAATGTAATTTAGCAGATTTTTTTATAGTATGGTTACTCCAGTCATATGATCATTCAGAAATGATTGCAATATTTGGATTCGCTTTTTAAGAAATGCTTATTTTTATTTATTCACGTCAAGTCAAGTTGAGCTTAATTGTCATTCTGCTACATGTGAGGACAAAGAGTGGACATAGAGCTACATAAATAAAAATTCATAAAAATGAACACAACACTGGACATAAGAGTAATTTTAAACCTATACATATCAAACATATCGGAGAGATAATCTAACTATTCTAACTTCTAGCTATATGCATATACTATACAATACCTGACAAATTCTTGTCATCTATTTAGAATTTAAGAACAGCAAATAACTTGACTTCTAGTTGTTCATTTGGTATCAAAAGTGGCTTATATGAAAGGCAAAGGCCTGTAGATTAGGCTTTTTTTTACCTAAATACAATATGATCATGCCTTGATTTTTAATTATTTAATTAGTACAGTAAGTCTGACTTTACTTAGACTAAGGTCTTGTTACTTAAAAATATTGTACAGTATAGAATATAAAATCATGGTGCAGTGGAAAAAGAATTATCGTGTATGACTCCCATGAGCTTGGAGCACTGCATCCATACATCTCTGCAATGACTCAAATAACTTATTAATAAAGCCATATGGAATGGCAAAGAAAGCGTTCTTGCAGGACTCCTGAGGAGTTTATCAAGATTCTTTATATTCATCTTACCCCAGAAAGGCTCAATAATGTTCATGTCTGGTGACTGGGCTGGCCAATCCTGGAGCACCTTGACCTTCTTTGCTTTGAGGAGCTTTAATGTGGAGGCTGAAGTATGGGGAGTGCTGTCCTGCTGAAGGATTTGCACTCTCCTGTGGTTTGTAATGTAAATGGCAGCACAAATGTCTTGATACCCCAGGCTTTTGATGTTGCCATCCACTTTGCAGATCTCTTGCACACCTCCATACTGAATGTAACCCCAAACCATGATTTTTACTTCACCAAACTTGACTGTTTATTATAAGAATCTTGGGTCCATGCAGGTTCCAATAGGTCTTCTGCAGTATTTGTGATGATTGGGATGCAGTTCACCAGATGACTCATCTGAAAAATCTGCCTTCTGCCACTTCTCCAAATGATCAACTAGAAGTCAAGTTGGTTTGTTGCTCTTACAACTGGGGTCGATGACAACACTTTTGTAAGGTGGTGTACATACTTAAATTGTACACATAACCTAATGCAGACTATACAATTACTTTTCTGTACGACAGAGCAATGTTGTGTAAAAGAGGTACTTTAGGGTTGAAGAAAACTTCAATGTTATTTGTGGTACATTCATGGGCAAACAGTTTTTTTTCATTGAGTCCTTGTAAGATGGAGATTAAGTAAGGTGTACAAAGCATTTAGAGAGAAGAGCGTTTCCTACAGGTGGTTTGTCTAATTTTAGACTTTTTTTCAAATAAAGTAACAATAAACACTATAAATTTAATCTGCCTCTTATTTATTTTGAATATTTATTTCATTTTTGGTAAATAATTTTATCTAAATTAATCTGAACAGCAAATCAGAAAATTAGAATTATTTCTGAAGGATCATGTGACTGGAATAAAATAGGCCTCCACGATATTGGAAAAGTCTGACATTGCGATATTTTGTTTTGCTGCGATTATATATTGCAATATGAATACAATTTCACCAAAATAGGTCTATTTGTGGAAAAAATATAATTTAGATGGGTTAGGTTGATTTTGTAATGGAATGAATCATGTACAAAATGGTATTAAAAATGTTCTTAAAAACTTTCTTGAAATGCTTTTAGAACGCATACAAATGATAAAGGCCCATTCCCATTTCTATTTTTGTACCTATACCCCTTCCCCTTGGCCCTTGAAACCAAGTGTGAAGGGAAAGGGCTTCAAAATTTACCCCTAAGAATTGGGACAGCACTACAGCACCTGCACACATCATCATATGTCATCGCGATCTCATGCTTCATATGAGATCAGACGATCGAGACTGCTGTAGTGATTCCAGTTGTGTTATTTTTTGGTATTTATCTTCAGGAAATCACTGAAGGCATATATTACGTTATCATGTCGATATAATGTGGCATACTGTGACTATACTGTGTATTTACACAGTGGCAATATTTATCAATGTAAACACAACAACATTAACGTTATAGCAGACGCTGTAAAGAGCTCATTCTAGCCACTAGACTTTTCTGACAGGGTATCCCATGTGTCAGATGTGAATGTAGCTTGTGGGACTACTATACGGGAGTTCTTATCATGGATTATAGATAGCGAAATTTAGCAGTTTTAGCAGAGGTTTTTTAAGCATGACTGTAAAACACAAACGTGGTTATGATAATGTATTAAAACATATGCTTGTTGGTCGTAAACATTCGTAATAATGGCAAAAAAATACCCATTTTACCCCTTCACGTGAACGCGCAAAACTAGGAGTAGGGGTAATAGGAAGGGCTAAGGGGTAGAATTGGGATTGGGCCAAAGTTTCACTCTGTTATGGTTATACAATGACTTCATAAACCTCATGTATTCTAAATACATGTGACTATATAACACACACATTGAGATCTCGATGGTGAATTAAATAAAGTATTAAATAAAATGTTTAAATATATTCAAATAGAAATCAGATATTTTAAATGGTACAAAGTTTTATTTATTGTTTTTTTAGCTGTTCAAATAATGGCTAATCAAATAAATGCAGGCTTGGTGATCAGATGTGACTACATTAAAATAAAAAACTAAAATCTTTTGACAGTGTTATTTAGTGTTTGTGAGAGAGATACTAAATGCTCTGTTAACAGCTTCACTGGTGAAAAAACAATGCGCTGTTACCCAGTGGAGACTTTATTTTAGTGTGCACGTGCAAATCCCAAAAGAGCAGACAAAATTGTGTTGTGTTAGTTTATTTTAAGTTACTCATACGAGTCAAAAGGCAACAGTTTCTAAAGGAATGAACACATCTCGGTGTGTAAATGGCATATATAATCACCCAGGATTAATGCTGGTCATTTTGTTACAAGCTGATATTTAGTTTGAATGACGTGGTAGCTGCTGTTCCCTTGGGTATTTTGTTGAATAAATATCAGTGTTTACATGAATGACAATCATTAATGTTACGAGTTGCTTCCAAACTCATCTAAAACTAGCCCAAAGATTGATAACACTACAGACAAGTCATAACTAGAATGCTACAAGTAAGAGATGATAATCCTTCATTGTTTACCTGCTCTTTTGTCTATGATGGTATTTTTGTCTCAGCTCAACGCTTAGTGTCTTCAAATTTGAGTGGTTCATTCTCATGACACTGACAGTCACATATAATCTTGACCAATGCACACAGTCTGAGCCAGAGACACATGATTAGTTCACCTTTAGAATCTTTGGGTTTTTGAGTCGTTCGTTCATCACGTGACAGGCTGAACAGCATGTAAAGAGTAATGACTCGAGAGATGAACGGATCAAATGTTTTTACGGCTCTAAATGCATATAATTGGATGAACAAATGATTTAAAAGACTTGAAAAATTAAAGAAACCACCTGCACAAATGTGCGGATGAATGAATCCCTCCCTGAACGGACTCCTCATCCCTGAGTCACATTTAAGATTCAATCAAAATGAACGAATCATTTAAGAACAACCCACTACCATCATGTCTAAAACCGCATGGAAAACAGAAAGTACACCGATTCCTTCACCGGAATAGAATTAGGATTGGGCCTTAGTGGCAGAGCTAAAACTCAGCAGGACGGGTCATTGGCCCATGAACCCTTCCTGCTTGTTGTTGAACTAATTCTTAACTGCAGAGGCAATCCAATCACAACTTAACATTAAAACAGCCGTCATAATATTATTTATTCATTTTTAATATTATTTATTGGACCTTTTTGGGTAGCTATAAAATTAAACAAATGTAAAACAGGATGTACGTTAGGACCATTGTTATCATTTACATGCCTCAAAATGATCTTTTGTACTGAAATAGACATATTTACCTCCCCATATATTGTTCCTGGCTAAAATGTCATGTGAAATGATATTCAGACTCACACAGGTAGCATTCAACAATGAATAAGCACATAATCAGCGCTCAATGTTATCGTTGGCATAAGTATTTTATGCAAAAATAGAAATTTTGCATGTTGCTGTCATGGATCATTAGGACAAAAACAGCTTTTTACATGAATAAGATCAATTTTATTGCCATGGCACATGTTGTTAGGAAATGCTGCATTTTTTTTTTCATTTATTTCTTGCAATAATGATGAATTTAGAACTCAAAACTGCAGAACAAAGGTACTCAAGGTACACACTTGATTCTCATATTTTCTTAGAAGTTTAATGTTATTGTAATTAGGCATGGGACGATAACCGTTCTCAAGGTATACCGCGGTTTGGAAAAGTCAAGGTTTTAAAACGGCGTAGAGTGCTGAAGTTTGCCCTGCATGCTTGCGTTTTTCAAAGGAAATTTCTTTGGTGCGTCAATCTTCATTCATTCATTCATTTTCTTGTCGGCTTAGTCCCTTTATTAATCCGGGGTCGCCACAGCGGAATGAACCGCTAACTTATCCAGCAAGTTTTTACGCAGCGGATGCCCTCCAGCCACAACCCATCTCTGGGACATTCACACACACACACACACACACTCATAAACTACGGACAATTTAGCTTATCCAATTCACCTGAACTGCATGTCTTTGGACTGTGAGGGAAACAGAAGCACCCGGAGGAAATCCACGCGAAGGCAGGGAGAACATGCAAACTCCACAAAGAAACGCCAACTGAGCCGAGGTTCGAACCAGCAACTCAGCGACCTTCTTGCTGTGAGGTGACAGCACTACCTACTGCGCCACTGCCTCGCCCTGCGTCAATCTTTTCAATGCTATTATTCAAAAAGGTAATGATTCGGTTTTAAAACGGTCAAAATTTAATGCAATACCAATACTAAGGTATGTGTAGGATTTTCTATTTACTTTTTTTTTTTTTTTAGGACTACAGTATCTCCTGCAGAAAAGATGCTGTTTTAAATTGGTTTTAAAATAAATGAAGACAGCAGAAGTCAATGATTCATTTGAATTATTCAGCCTGACATGTTTACTGCTCAAATATGTTTCTTAAAATAAAACATACTGTTTAAAAGGGGAAAAGGTTTTTGTTTTTAACCCAGACATTTAAAAAGAATATATTTTAGGGCAGTAATCGCAATACCGTAAAACCGTGATATTTTTATTCAAGGTTATCATACCGTCAGAATCTTAAACCTGTCACGCTGGTAGACAAGGATGGTTATCGTTTATCAGTTTTACAGCATGTGAACGAGCCACGGGTGTGTCAGAATTGTGCAGAACAAAATGACATTCATGATACAATTCTGAGGGAAAATAAGGTAAATCTTGGAATTGCAACTGCAAGAGAAGCAACTGATAAAAATACGCTTCCATAATTGCAATATTATTGTCATTTTGTGTAATATTTCTTGTGCATTTATTAATTTCAGTTAACTCTTGTCTCTTTTTTGTAGTTTTATTATCCTACACTGTAAACTGAAATGACTACAAATGTTTTTGTTTCTTTGATTTATTTTAATAAGTTAATCACGTTTCAACTAGTTAAACTTAATATTTATAGTCTGATAGATATTAGTTGATGACTAGAAAAGTTCATTTGATTCAACAACCAAAAATTAAGGCAGCAAGACGTTTTTACACTGTAGAAAAGACCGTTAGACAATGAAGAATCATTCCCCATTAAGAATGTTTCTTGTTAAAGAGTATAATCCACTACAAGCTGAAAGAACAGCTGATGTAGTAGAACAATAAGTCAGTAATTACATCTTTGCAGCATTTTGTTCTTCCTCTAATTCCCTTCGCAAATCAACTTGAATGAACGTCAGAACGCCGATGCTAATTAGAAAGCTTAAATGCTGAACCCGGCGCCTCTCTGCTTTGATTGTGTGTGTGTAACCTGACATGACGTCAGTATCAATGAGGTCGTTGCAGCTGCTGTTGTGTGTTTCAGCTGTTCTCATTGTGTCAGTGTGTCTTTATTGGCGCAGCTAAACAAAGGTTTGAGGAAAGGCTGTAAACGGGTGTTAACAGGCTGCCAGGTGCAGTGATTGTGGGTTGTGACGCTAAAGCCAGTAATGTTGAAATATACATCGATTTTCCTATAGAAGGGCTCACCTTTAGAAACACAGGTGGATTTCTGAACACTCCCACACCTGGAGGGGTTCCGGTCAAAAACACATCACCGGGATAAAGAGTCACAAACCTGCAGGAAAACATCAAATTAAGCCACACAAAATATATAAGATGTTTTTAGTGGAGGATATTCGTAAAAATTATGTAATAAAAATATATAATAATCAGTGTTGGGGAGTAACGCTTAACAAGTAACACGATATACATTATAATTAGGGCTTGACGTTAACTTTTTTGATCACCAGCCACTATGGCTAGTAGTTTTCGTCGCTACTAGCCACTCGCCATTTTCAGTTCACATTTCTAATAAATTATATATGCAGAAATTTGACTTTGGCATGCAAAAATTACTTAATTTCCGATTTGTTATGTTCACATGCTGCCTCGTTTATTTAAGTCTTTTGCGTGTTGTGTATGAGCTTGCTCAATGAGCATAAGCAAAAGGGTTGTGCTTTCAAAATGCCACATTACACTAACGCCCCATTCACACGGGGCTTCAGCGTCAACGCTTGACTGAAGGCGTGTCTGGAGTTGGGGCTAACGCGATCATCATAGCAGCGTCAGCCAATGAAATTCAATCAGCAATAGGCCACTGTCTAGCTGGTGTATTTGCATACAGTGATGTGATTGGCTGTCGCTTATGTCGGTGGTCCCAACTTCCTCTGAAGCGGCGCCGACAGATCCACAATGCAGTTCGGCAATGCCTGACGTTACCCATTCAAAGTGAATGGGGCGTTAGTTTTATTTCCCATGACTTTTAAGGGATCAACACTAAGGATTTACCTAATTTTTCTCTGACCACACCAAATTAATTATTTCCTTGCCACAAATTTTAAACATGTTATTAAAAAAATAATTGACATACAGTTGAAGTCGGAATTATTATCCCCCCTGTTTATTATTTCCCCAATTTCTGTTTAACAGAGAGGGTTAGGACTTTTTCAACATATTTCTAAACAAAAGAAAGAAAGAAAAACCCAAAAGTAATATAACGCATTACTATTTATAAATTTTATAAAAATATTTTTTCACTTTTTGGGGAGTGACTCAATATTGACTTGCATTACATACATTAGCTTTCCCCAACACATTATAATAATAATAATAATAGATTTTATATATAATAATCAAATTTAAAAGATAATCATTTAATTTATTAATTTAAAAAAAAAATATTTAAAACACAGGTGAAAATGTTTATTCTGCATGACATTTCTTGTAAAAAGGAAACTATTGTAAGATGGATGGATAGAGCATTCAAAAGCAGTGATTTTGCTTACTGTGAGACCCAGGCCACCACCTTCTCCGTCTGGAAGATCATTTGATTGGTGTTGCTTTCCTGAACTGTGGCTCCGTTCACGAAACAGCGAATGCCCAGCTTATGAACATCTGTTTAACAAACAACATTGACGTGATTACTTTCACAAGTATTAATTTAAAAACTGGGAACTGCTCGCCCACTGTTTTCTTGAAAACTATGTATTCAGACATACATACCGTTTTTCAAATACTATATATTAGGGAGGTATGTGATTTTGATGTAACATAACTAATCAGAAATTAAAAATGAACAAAAATTAAAAAATTTTAAGAAATTTTTTTAAGAAATTAAAAACTATCAATTAGTACCTGTATTAAGTACAACCTCAATCCCCATCAGGGCATCATTGTTTCCATAAGAGAGTTTTGCTTGTGCAATCCTAAATAAATAACGTAATACAACGCCAGTAGCTCCTCCCCTTCCGCTACGAAAGCAAAGCTGTGGCCATTGAGTGCATGAAGTGCTCGACGTTCCACACTTCATTTTATTGTTTGTAAAAATACATCGGGATATTTAAAGGGCACTTTTTAATATCATTTTCAGTGTGAATGTGCTACTTGCAGTTTTTATGCTACAAAATGGCGTAGAAAAGTGCGCAAGTATGCTATGTGATGACATCTGTCAGCAGGGGGCGTAGCACGTGAGGGGTAAAGGATGACAGAGTGCGTAGGGCCCTGGAAACGTAGAGGTCCATCGACTGGTAACGCCCCTGGATGTAAGTGTCCAATGATTAATTTTGATATGTTTTGGACACAGAATGATATCTAAGGGTGCTTTCACACATGGACTTTTGTTTTGGAACCTGTCTCCTTTGCCCAGTTAGCGCAGTACGTTTAGCATATGTGAATCCAGCAATCGCGCTCGGATCCGTGCCAAATCAATCAGTCCGAGATCGCCTGAATGAGGTGGTCTTGGCTTGATTGAAACAAACTCGGGAGCAGATCGATTGTAGTGAGAAAACAATACGATCCAAGCCCGGCTATATCACAGTGTATTATGGATATGTCATAGACATATATTCAGCTATATGAAGAGAGAATTATGAGTAGAGCCGGATCTCATTCCTACTGGTAAATGTGTGTTTCATGTAAAAGCCTATAATGCATAAGCCAACTGCTATGTATGACAAAGTCTTACCTGTGATTTACACTTGCTGACGATGTCTGTGGGTGTCAATATTCAAAATGAAAGCAGCTTTTCGCTTATGATTTCTTTATTGCTCATCATTATAAATTAAAATAAAGACACATGAGAGCTGAGCGGGACTCTAATCAATATAAACCGTGACACTCTGACTTGTGTGAGGAGAGTTTACGCGCACGTTACTTGTTTTAGCTCTTTTGGTCCGTTTAGAAACTTTGCCGTGTGAAAGCAAACCACACTAAGAACAAGGAGCAACATTGTAACAGTTTTAATCCACGTTTAATGGAACAAATGAATCGATTCACAGGTGTGAAAGCACCCTGACTTGTTGAGGAGCACTCAAGTGGACTGAAATATTTCTTGGTGGGATCTATCAAAGATCTGAAAGTCTGAATTGTGTTCTGAAGTGTCTGAGTGGCCATGTTGGTATTCCCTACTGAAACACAGCTTCATATGTAACACAATGTCCACCAAAACCTGTTCACTGGTACAGTACAAGCTGAATTATTTAGTTAAGTGGAATTTATTTATTTTATTTTTTTAAAGAAAGACTAGTGCCTATTTAAATAAAAATATATACAGTTGAAGTGAGAATTATTAGTCCTCCTGAATGATTAGCCCCCCTGTATATTTTTCTCCAATATCAACAGAAAGACAAAGTTTTAGCTACTAATTCATATTAACCAGTTTATTTTATCTTTGCCATGATGACAGTACAGTTAAAGTCAGAATTATTAGCCACTCTGAATTATTTACACCCTGTTTATTTTTTCCCCAATTTCTGTTTAACGGAGAGAAGATTTTTTTCAACACATTTCTAAACATAATAGTTTTAATAACTCATCTCTAATAACTGATTTATTTTATCTTTGCCATGATGACAGTAAATAATATTTGACTAGATATTTTTCAAGACCCTTCTATACAGCTTAAAGTGACATTTAAAGGCTTAAGTAGGTTAATTAGGTTAACTAGGCAGGTTAGGGTAATTAGGCAAGTTATTGTATAATGATGGTTTGTTCTATAGACTATCAAAAAAATATAGCTTAAAGGGGCTAATCATTTTGACCTTAAAATGGTTCATAAAAAAATAAAAACTGCTTTTATTCTAGCTGAAATAAAGCAAACAAGACTTTCTCTACAAGAAAAAATATTATCAGACATACTCTGAACATTTCCTTGCTCTGTTAAAAAGAAAAAGAAAAAAAATTAATTAAAGCTAATCATTCTGATTCAACTGTATACTCCCACGAGCCCTTCGGGCAGGTCGAGATAGATTTAGTTATTATATTATTATTATAGATCAGTTATTATGTCTGTCGTACTATTGTTACACTTTCATTTCTGTTTTTGATTTAAGTACCTTTCAGAGAATCAGTAGTAACCAGCGCTGGGCCGAGCGGACAAAACGTGTCAAATGTTTTTCCCAGCAGCCACTGCTTTCCGTTACGCTTCATCTGCCAATCACGAGCACTCACATCATTCGCTACAGTGAAACCTGCAATATAGGATAGGGCTTCTTCTTCCTGAGACAAACAGACACGTAGATATGACAGACATTAGGTTGAGCCATATATTTATCTCATCAAGAATCAGGCTTGTAGCCGGCCTGCTTAAAGTGGTGGTGATTTTTTGCAGTTATTCGCCTCATTTTCTATTACATTATTAGGTTCAAATACTCCATTTAGTGACATTTTTAACACTATTTTAGCTGGATTAGCTTGTTGGATGGTCAATTTTTAATGTACCGAAAATATTTCCTAAAGAACTACAACTTGTTTTTAAAATACAAAGATATTATATTATATATCATTAGAAAAAATGTAGCCTGTTGTCATTTTTTAGACAAACACCAAACTGGCCAGCACTTTCAGCTTTCCTCAGTCAGATTTTGGCCATTTGAATAAAAAACAATTAAAACATAATGAATCATGAACATTTTAAAAATTAATGGATAACAACAGCCTGATTAGTTTTAAAATTAACTTTAATGTGGGACGATTTTTGCTGCTTCAGACCTTTTCATTGGTCAATTGTTTCTCACAAGACTAACAATAAAAGTTAGGCTACTTGTAAAATATTTTGTGTGGTCTTAAAACCTTCAATGGATTATTTCGACAATTTATGATGGCATAGTAGTCAAAATAGAACAACTGAGAAAATAGTGGCAAAAATTTTGGACCAATGGCAAATTCTGAACATTTGTCAGTGGGGGACAGGTCTTTCAGCCTACAAAATATAATTCTCAAAAAGATTGTTATGAGCACATGCATTATTATAACAGCTAAAATCTTAATCGATTTCACCCAGTTACTTACAAATAGAGTATGATGGGTAACAAAATTGTGATTTATTATTGGAGAAAATCTATAAAAATAAAAGAGACAAAAATAGTATGTACATTTGAACAGAAATTGAATTTGACTGCATTATACGAGTATGGCTGAAAGGAAAGAAAGGAAATTGTAATCTTTTAAACCATTTTAGATAATATTGTTTCATGAATAATTTGAAGGTATTTACCATTCTGTGTACAATAGAAGTGCACAAATATAAGATCAGAGCTAATCTTTTTAAATCCAAGTGTGTTGTAATAGTGGTGCATGTAATATTTAATGCAATATAAATGTATGTAATATAAAATAACGTGTAATATTTAATCTAGTAACCCTGAAATATCCAATTAACTGAACAATTCCATTTTAAGATATATTTGTCAACAAATCACTCTGTTACCTTTATATGCTTCCCTTTCCGGCCAATCACAAAGGCGAGTTCCACCTCCCAGTCCACTTCCTGTAAATGATGAGCCATCACAACATGTGAAACAATTCACAAAAGTTTTTCAGTTGGACATGACTAACAACTATAAAATATGTGAAGAATTTCATATGTTAATATGAGAGTAAGTTATTCTCATGTGTTGTTGAATTAAAGTGACACCGGTTTATTTTGACCCGTTTACACCTGCTATGAAGATGTGTTTTAGTCAGTCAGATCACAGGTATACAATTGACCTTATTCTTCAAAGCGGAAGTGCGCTCGTTTTTGCGATTGTTTTAGAACTTCCGATTCAGTTGCCTAAGGGAGAAATGACTGTGCATAATAAACGGTCAAACTACTTGCTCTACAAACAAGTGTTTGCATGATCATACAGATAAAAAATAAGAAAATATTAATTTGCAACATCAAGCAGCAGAACAAGCAGAACATCTAAAAATAAATGGAAGGGAATGAGACCGAAAGTCTCGAGCCAAAAAGAGTCAAATGGCTACGCCCGCTCGTACGTGAAGAATAATGTGAACAGAGACACATTTTACTTTACAACTGCTATGTTTACACCTCAGACTCAACTTTATTATTCCATGTAGAGAAACTAAAATTGTTGCAACAAGTTACCATAACACAGTCAAAGTTCCATGTTCACATTAACAAAACATTACCACACAACATACAGCATATTTTAGGTGCATCTCCCGCCCTGCATGCTGGACTCTATTACACTGACCTCTATCCCTCTGACCAATTGGCCACCATTATAAAAGAATTTCTAATTCTATTTGTCTTGCAAATACGTAATCTAAAACAACATCCTGATGGCAGTGGCTGAAACACAGAGTACAACGGGTGATCCGGCGTGCATAAGATACCCTGAGCTCTCTTTAACACATTCATTCATTTCTTCTTCGGCTTTGTCCCTTTAATAATCTGTGGTCTCCACAGCGGAATGAACCACCAACTTATCCAGCATATGTTTTATGCAGGGAATGCCCTTCCACCTGCAACCCATCTCTGCGAAACTCTTTAAAACATAATTACAGTAAATTACCATTGGGCCAATTTAGTTTAAACTGATGATCTTGCCTGCCACCTTCACAAGGCCACTCAACTTGTTCTTATTTGACAGACACAGATTACCATACCAAGCTACAATGCAGAAAGATAAAATGAATTCAATAAATTGTTCATAAAACAGTGTCATCATAGAGGTACAACCAAAAAGTTTTCTCTGAACAAATCAGTCTTTCTTGAACTTTTTTATAGACAAAGTCTATAAACGACCCCTAAGTCGATAACGACCTCTAGGTATGTATGTGTCAACAATTTCAATGTCCAAACCTTTAATATTTGTTATGATGGGGGTAGGACATTGGGTTCGTTCTTCGTACCTCACTTAAATGATCTAAGATGATTTGGCAGATCCTGGATCTTTACATCTTGATAACTGATCTGTCACTAATTTGGTTCTTCAAACAAGTTCGCGAATCAGATTAGAATGTCTGGATAAACTGATCTGAGATCGCTGCGTGTGTTGTGAAGGACTGATCTATCGATCCTTGAAATCATGATCAGCAATGCAACGATTGGCTGACGTCACAGCAGCGTAATGACATCATCTGATTAATATTCAATTATCCATGTGAGCAAAATTACATCAAATTAGCAGTAAACGGCTTGTTAAATATGACACGCAATAACCTTCCACATTTGTCGTGAGCTGCAGGCTTTACACTTTCATGTGTCAAGTGTATTCATCATGTATTTCAATGCATATCAACGTATTTAGTTCTACATTTAGAAAAGATTTTCTTTATTATAGTAGCCGTTTTTTAATCGGTGTAAAGAATAACTGGTTGTTTACAAAAGCATTTTGATATTGGTAAAGGCGTCTGCAACTTTTGTGAAGCATCAAATCACCGGCATATCAACTGTCAAAACATGTTTATGACTGCATATGTATTATTGCTTTAAAAAAAAGAGTCACATATTGTGCATTTCTATTATACACAATTTGTACTAAAGCGATTTTAGATAGAAGTTTTCTCTTTGCACCACCAAGTGGAAGTCTTTGTACTTTCATTTCGAGGGTGCAGATTGCATAAGTTTTATTAATATGTATCATTTTATTTATTTTATTAATGACTACAACTATATATATATATATATATATATATAGTTAAAAATATGTACCATTTTCCCAAGTGTATATAACTACTACTGTAAGAAAATATTAGAATTCGGAACATACTTTCTGTATTATCTTTGCTTGAACTGAGCCGATCTAATCCTGTTTATATGAATTGAACCTGCTCCCGATTAGGTTTGACCTAGCAGAACTGTTGCTATGACAACAACTCTCGGATCAGCTTAGAAGAATGAAACGATCCTGGATCGTGTCAAATCGTCAATATCCAAATCCAGCTAACTGAGTAATCCACGTACGAAGAACGGACCCCTGGTGATAGGTAGGAATCTATCACCATGTCTTTACTTTTATTTACATTCAACTGGAGAGGAAATCTAGCACACCAGGAAGTAAATTCTTCCACAACAGGACCATGACCCAATTCCTGATCGTGGAAAAGACTCACAATGACTGAATCATCAGCATATTTAATAATATGACAGTTTCCATACATACTCTGATAATCATTAGTTTACATGATGAATAGAAGAGTTCAATACAAAAGACCAATACTGAAAGTAAGAAAAAAGCACAGTTGGCACCGTTTAATGGTCTTTTGTGGATGTTTGAATAAATTTGACCTCAAGAGTGGTAAAAAAAAAAAGCAATCTGATCTAATGCAATGCATTTTTAATTGGACCTGACAGAACAGTACAAAATCAAACAAAAAAAAAGTCAGTTCATGACTCATTTTAGAGATAGTTCTCCGAAAACTGAAAAGTCTTGTCATTTATTCATCCTTCACGTCTCACAAACTTATCTGAGTTTCTTTTTCTGTTAAACACAAAAGACATTTTGAAAAATATTGGAAACCTGTAACCATTGACTTCCATATTTATTCTTCCTACTATGAGTGTCAACAGATACAGGTTTCTAAACATCTTCTTTTGTGTTAAACAGAAAAGAAATAACCTCACAAAGGTTTGGAACGACTTGATGGTACATAAATAATGAGTATATTTGAATTTTTGGGGTGGACTGTCTCTTTAAGCCGCAGAGCTCACCTGACTCTCGTCTGGCAGAATGATGTCATCATTAGGGCCGGTGATGGAGCAGGGGAACTTGCTGAATATGATGGGCTCTTTAGGAATGGGGGCGTTTTGCTCTAGACAGTGGTCTTTGTAATTCATACCAACACAGACCACTTTCTCTGGATTGGTCACTGGAGAGAGCAGTCTGATGTCTGACCGCGGCAGCACATTCTGACCACTGGACAAAGCCCTGGGACACAGAGAAGCAGATAACATTAATTAATAAAGTCCTTATTTACTATGTACTAGGACAGAAAGTAAGTACAATGAGATAATAAATAAGGTTAGGGATTAGTTTGGTGATGGGTAAGTTAAAGGTTGGGTTATGTATAGATGTATAATAGTGTAATTATACATGTATTTACAACCAGATCAAAAAAAAAATGTGTACAATGTAAAAACATGTATATTTATAATAAGTGTCTTGTACTAAATTATTTATTTAAATGTGAATACCTAGTAATTAAGGTAACTTTAAAACTATCATTAATAATATCGTTAATAAGACCATTAATAATATTTTATTACATTCATATAGTGCTTTTCTGGGCTAATAATGAGCTTTTATTCCAGTTTATTCAGAACTAAAAGAAATAATACTTTCCACAGAACAAAGAATATTGTAGGAAATACTGTGAAAATGTGCTTGGTCTGTTAAACATTGCTTTTGGAAATATTTGAAAAAGAATTTTTAAAAAAATTCACAGGAGGGCTAATCATTTTGGCTTCAAGTGTACTCTTACCTATACATACGGCATTGAACATCCACAGTAATTTGTACATTTCGCTATTTTAATTAATGATTATTTTATATTAATTATATTTAACTCGTATACACAGAATCATCCTATGTAGACATATAAAGGTTTCATTATAAGATCAGAACTGTTGTTTCACCCTGACTGGATGCCTTCCAAAATAAAATGTTAAGCCCCCAAAATGAATATTAATTCAGAAATGAAACTTGATCAAAGTCAAGGTCACATTTTTTTTATAAGGTATCTTAAAACAGCATGGATGCTGACCAAAGGGCTTCACAGACTGATTAAAATACAAACGTACTAAGCAGAATCTTGACAAGTAATCTATGAAACAAATTAAAGTAGTAATAAAAAACATTTAAAAAGTCTATACAAAATAAAACAAAAATGTATGAGTAAGTCTGTGAGAAGAGGGTAGGTTTTAACTGATGCTTTAAAGATGCCTAATATAGGAGAAGCTCTAATCATTAAACAAAGTGTATTTTATACAATAAACCTTTTCTTTTTGATTTTAACTCAGATTGTGGGACATTAATTAAAGTAACAGCTGGGTTGAAGGTCTATGAGATCTCTGGGGAAAATAAAGACTTAACAGCTCAGAACTGTAGCAAGTCCATGTAAAGCTTCAAATATATCAATTAAAACCCTAATATCAACTCTACAATCAATTAATTCCTATTTATTTATCGTTTATTCTATTTACCCAAAATTAACTCTATTAGATTTCTTTTTTGTTGTAGCCAGGGAGGGTTTATGTGGGTAAGCCCACCGCCCACTGCTGAAGGTCCAGTATTTATAATTTGTTGTCCTGTACAGAAGCTCCCTTGTTCCATTCTGACTGTTATTTCATCACAAATTGTGGGGTTAGGGGGAGTTCAAAGAATGTTTTAGGACCCAGCGGAATTCTTTGCTGGTTTGTAGCTCTGGCTGAAGCTGCAATCACACTGCACAGGCATGGGCTGTGTCCAAAATTCAAATTGCATACTTCCATACTATATTGTACACTAAAAACAGTATGTGAGCCGAGTAGTATGTCCAAATTCATAGTATTTGTAAAATAGTATGCGAGAAGTACTCCGATGACCTAGTACTTCTGGTGGAATTTTGAAGTGCGCATCTCATGCATGCAACGCTAAACCATGATGCACCGTGAGAGAATTCATAAATGGAATACTGTATAGAATGTACATTTCGAGTAGTAAATTCAAATGCAGTGCCTACTGAGTAGTAGGCAATTTTGGATGCAGCCTAAAGCTGCGGACACACTAGAGATTGAGCATGCGAAATTCTGTCGTACAGCGCTGTCAAAAGGGGCAGGATTAAACAATATGATTAGACATTAAAAAAAGCAAGTGATTGGTCCATATTTTAATTTTTGTCCAGAGAGGTCATGTTTTGATCCTTGACTGGTCTCACGCAGTCAAGTGATGCGATTTCACAGGTCAGAGTTCACCGAGATTGAACTTTGCAACGCAGTGAACTGCAAAACTTGATGCACGATCTTGCATTTCCGATCTGACGCATTCACCTGGGTATGAATGGAAGTCTATGGGGAGAAAAGTCTAGTGTGACCGCAGCTTTACATTCATAATAGGGCTGCACGATTCTGGCTCAAATGTAAATCATGATTTCTTTTGCCTAAAATCAAGATCCCCATTTTTTCTCACGATTCTGTAGATGTAAAATAAAGGTTAATATGATTAGCCTATTATTATTGTTAATTCTCAAACATATGGTGAAACAATAATAATAATAATATTATTATTATAATAAATATTATTATTGTTATGTTTGAGACATGTGCTTGTCATCTGTTTTTGACAACATTATTAGACCATTATATTTCCATCATATATAGGCTAGGGTTGTTATACTGACACAGTAAACATTTATTTTCATGCACAACACTTTGTGTTCGCTATGAAAGGAAAAACATCAAATGCTTGTCGTAAACATAACTCTAAAATGCGATATGATCATTTTAATCATCTGCGCCCAGGTTTCACTTTCACTTCCTATAGTGCGGCTCATGGCTGCTGTCACTGTGAGAAAAAACACACACCTCCCGCATGGCCCTCAAATGATCGCTCTGTGCAACAAACTGAAAGTTTTTTACAACTTCATTACCTGTTATTCACAACCTATGCAGGTTCTGTTCACTAAAGTAGGCGTCATTTGCATCCACGCGCGCGTTCTCTGCATTAAACAAACAGTGCGTCAGCTCACGTGTGATTTCGCGTCCGTGATCACACCATTACATGAGATGTGAGAAATTATATTTCTGGGTAAATTATACCTTATAAATACACTATGTGACACTTTTAACGCCATTTAAAGGTGTCAATGTTGCTCTGAAGAATTCTGCCGCCGCCGTCTCTCCTGACCTTAAAAATATAATTGGCTGAATCGTAGAAAAAGCTGAATTAGGATCGTGTGTTGGGTCGAATCGAGATCGAGATTTTTTTTCGATTATTCGTGCAGCCCTATTGAAATCACATCATGTGACTACATGAGATCAATAGAAGATCAGACATAAACTTGGTACCGAAATTTTAAATATGGAGCAATCACTCACTTAATTTTTTGTAAGTATAATAATCTTGTTTAATCCCACACCTTATCGCAGCGCCGTGAGACAGAATTTTGCAAGCTCAAACTCTAGTGTGACTGCGCCTTTACACTATTTACCATCAAAGGCTACGTTTACACTGCAGGCAAATTATTCTCTATTTTCACCTGGGGATATTATTCTCTATTTTCACCTGGGGATACTCATCCCGAGGTCCTCAGATTATGCGGAGTCACTGATTGGATCCAAGACCAGCGACGTGATGATCCCAATGATTCCATATCCGGGACCAGGCCATATCCTGAGCTGCTGCTGCGCTGATGGTCGTGGGGAGTGGAGAACATGAGTCTGATTCCAGCGACGCTCTAGGGACAGACGAGTCTTCGCTGAGGCCATCTTCCAGCCTAAACCACGACGAATGAAGTTCTGCACAAGAGTCTGGTTCTCTCAAGGTTTTTTTTCTTCACTCCCATCAGGTGAAGTTTTTTTTTCCCTCTCCGCTGTCGCCACTGCCTCGCATGGTTCAGGATTGGTAGAGCTACGCATCAATGAATTTGCTCTTCAGTGTTTGAACTCTCAGTAATGATTAAATCACACTGAACTGAGCTAAACTGAACTGAACTGAACTTAAACACTAAAACCTGAACCACACTATTCCAGTTACTGAACCACACTGTTCCAGTTACTATGACCATTTATGTGAAGCTGCTTTGACACAATCTACATTGTAAAAGCGCTATACAAATAAAGCTGAATTGAATTGAATTGTGGCCTGAATCTAAATCTTTACGTGCGACTCATGTTTGTTTTTGTCATGACAGTGTAAGCATCCCAAACCACATAGAATCCGATCTTTTCAATTCTGATATCTGCCTCTTTCATATGCGGTAATAAATCAGAAACAGATTTGATGTTCTGCAATCTGACTGCAGTGTGAACGGTCATGTTGGAATTCTTGTGACTTTTACATCATGTCGATTGACACGTGTCATTATTCTGTCCTGGTTGGTGCTTTAAACTACTCCCCAGCGGTATTGCAGAATAGCACACAGGCAGGGCCGGAGTAAGCTGAACTGCTGGGGGGAGGGGGGGGGGGGGGTGATGGGAGCTGTCGCGGACGCCGCCCTCTCAATTCTACCGCCCTAGACGCAGATATAACTGAGGGCGCGGGTGGTGAGGGAAGTGTTGCGGACGCCGCCCTCTCTATTCTGCCGCCCAAGACGTGGATATAACTGAGGGTGCGGGTGGTGAGGGTAGTGTCGCGGATGCCGCCCTAGACGCGGATATAACTAAGGGCGCGGGTGGTGAGGGTAGTGTCGCGGACGCCGCCCTAGACGCGGATATAACTGAGGGCACGAGAGGTGAGGGTAGTGTCGGGGACGCCGCCCTCTCTATTCTAGGTCGCCTCTATGGACGCGCCAGCCCTGCACACAGGGGAAATACTTTACCCCCACAATTGAAGGTTGTTTATTTTGAATATTTTTTTTTTTTAATGACAGCTAGCTCTCGTTAACCAAACATTAAGCATTAACCTGTAATCAAAAAAGGATTGCTTAATAAAAATATCACTTTTTAAAGCCTAAAATGTTTTACCTCTTAGCACAGTCCATTCCCTTTGGCCCCAATTCCAGAAACTCCCTCATAGTGGAGGGCATGGAGGGGTCAAAAGCTTTCAGATCAACGATCCCCTGACCTTCATCCTGCTCCACCCCGACCCGCACAATCCCCTCAGCAACTTTATGGCAGAACTGGACAAGTCTCATCCTGCCGAAGCGTCGGACGGAGCCTGCGGAGAACACGGCATTGAGTCTCCTCAAAGTGAGCTGAGGGACAGCCAGAAATCTCATCTAATGAAGACAGAAGAAAACAGAGACAGACGGAAGAAAGGACATACAGCAGTGAAAGGCAGAAGTGGACACACATGCAGGATTACAGGATAAATAATGCACTCTTCAATTGGATTGAGAAATTTCAAGGGGATTGAGGAGTTTCAAGCACATAAATTACTTAGGAAAGCTGCATTTAGGAGTGGAATCGCAGAGAAATGATACACGATTTGAAGATGTTGAGAGGAGAGTTGATTTAATAAGCACTTGATCTATAATAAGGATTCTATTACATAATGGATTCATGGATTATACAGGGGTATCAGAAAATCAGAAGTCAGTTAAATAGTGAAAGATTTAGCAAGTAGTTTTAATGTCACATGCTGTATTTCAATCATTTTAAAGGTACCAGGGTTCCTGCAGGTTTAACTAAGGGGAATTTAAAGAACTTTATTAAGATGTATTAAAAAATCTTAAAAGAACACAATGTTTTTAAGTGCTAATATATAAGGAATGCACAATGAATCGTATTTTCAGGGTCTGAATTAGTTTGGACATTTATTTATACAGAACATTTAATGCCATTGCTCATGACTTAATTACTTTTTTAGAGTTTTAAACTGTATTACTTCCTTTTAAGTAATTTATTTAAAAACTAATTAAACAATCTAATTTAAAATAAAAACTAAATATAAATAAATTAATTTTTGGGTGGGCGACGCGGTGGCGCAGTAGGTAGTGCTGTCGCCTCACAGCAAGAAGGTCACTGGTTCGAGCCTCGGCTGGGTCAGTTGGTGTTTCTGTGTGGAGTTTGCATGTTCTCCCTGCGTTCGCGTGGGTTTCTTCCGGGTGCTCCGGTTTCTCCCACAGTCCAACGACATGTGGTAGAGGTGAATTGAGTAAGCTAAATTGCCCGTAGTGTATGAGTGTGTATGGCTGTATCCCAGAGATGGGTTGCAGCTGGAAGGGCATCTGCTGCGTGAAACATATGCTGGATAAGTTGGTGTGGTGTGGTGACCCCGGATAAAAAAAGGGACTAAGCTGAAAAGAAAATGAATGAATGAATTTTTGGGCTATTTTAAATGCCACAAAACATGGAGCAACTTTAATAAATCAAATGTATTATATACAGACCTACATAATTATCTATACAAATATTTGCCCTAAATGTCATACATAACATACCAAATCGAGTTAAAAGAGTTGATTCAAATGAAACTATGCATTTGTAACTTGCATGTACTAAGCTACTAAGCTGTGCTTTAATACTATTTCTTTTTTAATAGACTTTTACCTTTAACGCCATCACACATTAAGCAGCAATAAAGATGTTTTAATGTCAAATTACATTATCATGTTAACATTTCCACATTAGTGAGCAACTTAGTCAACAAATATATATATATTGTCGTAAAACTTGCTGGATAAGTTAGCGGTTCACTCCGCTGTGGCGAACCCGGATTAATAAAGGGACTAAGCCGACAAGAAAATAAATGTATATGTATATATGTATATATATATATATATATATATATATATATATATATATATATACACATTTATTTTCTTGTCGGCTTAGTCCCTTTATTAATCCGGGTTCGCCACAGCGTAGTGAACCGCTAAATTATCCAGCAAGTTTTTACGCAGCGGATGCCCTTCCAGCCGCAACCCATCTCTGGGAAACATCCACACACACATTCACACACACACTCATACACTACAATTTATCCTACCCAATTCACCTGTACCGCATGTCTTTGGACTGTGGGGGAAACCGGAGCACCCGGAGGAAACCCACGCGAATGCAGGGAGAACATGCAAACTCCACACAGAAACGCCAACTGAGCCGAGGCTCGAACCAGCGACCTTTTTGCTGTGAGGTGGCAGCAATATATATATACAATATACAGTTCTATCTGGTTCTCAAATCTGATTGGCTGATAGCCGTGTGATATTTTGCAATATCAGAACTCCTACAGCCTCTTTACCCTTTGTGTATTACTCCGCCCACATACAGCCAGCAAAAAGCAGACACTACAGATCTAAAGTTTATATATATATTATTTAACATGTAATATTTTTAAAATACTTATCTGACAGATGTGCCAGTGCTAATTGGTTGAAGTGGTAAGCGTGGGATAATCGTGATTTTTGTGAACCGTTACACCCCTAGTGACTATTACAAATGTCAAAGTTTGTTCTATTGGCATTTAAGTGTTTATTGTTTTGTTTTGTTTTGTTTTTTATTCAAATTTAAGTAAATCTGATTGTGGTCACATCTGACAGTGATGACATTTTAGGCATTACTTTCACAAAACATAATGCAGTTATGTAGGAGCCGTTTCGATTTTCTGTTGATGCTTCAGGGAAGTAAAATCATCTAACGATATTCAAAGTTCAAATTATTCCCTTACAAATAAAATGACAGTGTTGACCTGTCATGGTTGTGATGAAGGAAATGTTATCATGCATATTTAAAATATTGAAAATCTTTAAAACGTAGTCCCCCTGAAATGTAATCATGATGTGATAAAAAGTAGCAGCTGACCCAGATATTGACTGGTTTACTACGTTTTAACAAATGTCTGACATAGTAGTGATGACCTAATTAAGTGCATATTTTGATGAACAAGCTTTTTTGTAATTAAAATAATATTTTAATCCATGCAATTGCATATGAATGACTGAACACGTCACGTTTACACACTTATTAACGTTAGATGTGTAAAAAAGACAATAGCGCCATGAATTTAATATAATATGACTAAGTTGAAATGATAGTTAAACATATTCTATTATCTATTCCTCATAAAATTTGCATTTAAAAGTTGGTGGACCAATGTTTTAAGAATCAGTCATAATCAATATATTACTCCACAAAAGCTACGATCGTTTAGCATAAAAACAGCCACAGACTCAACTTTTACTGTTCATAATATTAAACTTCATTTCATGAAAAATCTTTTTAGGTGAAAACATATCTATCGTTTCATTTTCAACCATTAAACACAGCTGTCTTTTTGGGTGTTATTATTTATAAGTTTATATTTTACGAGGCTGAATCCAGCTTCTTATTCGCAGCTTCTTATTGACGCTATGCGGTCCACCTTAAAAACCGCGACGCTTCCGTTTTTCAGCTTCTTATTCGCGCTCATCTTAGGGACCGTGTTTATTTATGTTTCTTTTTGAAAAATGAAAAATGCTAAATGAAACTGATATAAGATAGAAAACGGGCTGCAAGCATGAAATCTAATTGCATCATTGATTAATTATTGACAGTGCCATCGTTTGAGTACAATATATTTTTGTTTTTTTTCCAGAAATAGTCCTTTATGAAGACTTCACATGACCCACCTATGAATAGACAGTGCCTGCCTCAGCAAGGATTTTAGATACAAAATAATTGTTTTATTAATTCAAGTTGTAAAAGTTAATGCATATGTTTTATCTGCAAATACTACAATTTGTATTAGATTTCAGTAGCTTTTTCTGACACCCACGCCTGTAAATACAATTCAAGTTTTGTTAAACCTATTGTTTCAAAGAACAGACAATGCACTTTTTATACACCTTTTTATACACCTTATACAAATAAATGTGAATTGAACTGAATGAGCTATTGCATAATTGAATACTGTACCATGTTCTCTCTAATATTACACAACAGGTTAATAGTATACGTCTATACACATATGTATACATATGTATAAATATGTATAATTCTATCCCATTGAGAAGACAGACCTAAAAACGGTCAAAATACAGTCATTTCAATAAATGCCCAGTTGGAGGTGCTATATGCCAAGTTTTTTGCATATTCATTTAATGTTTTATTTTTAACTTTTATGTATTTGTGTGCCTACTACATACTATGTATGTGTGTACTATAAACTATGTGTGTGTGTGTGTGTGTGTGTGTGTGTTCACATTAAAAATGTTTAACACTAAAGATAATAAAAGTATGTTTGTGTTATAAATTTACACAAAATAAAGATGCCAATACATAATCATTTAATAATAATGATTTATTATTATTATTATTAATAATATTAATAATTATTATTATTATTAATTTTTATTATTAGTAGTAATAGTAGTAGTGAAATAAAAATATTTTACAATGCACTTATACATATTGTACTGAAATAAATGCCAATTAATCTATATAGCTTATAAAAATTTATTAATATGTACCTATTTATAAATATGTGTGTAAAATATGTCTCTCTCTCTCTCTCTCTCTCTCTCTCTCTCTCTCTCTCTCTCTCTCTATATATATATATATATATATATATATATATATATATATATATATATATATATATATATATATATATTCATACACAGTACACAATACATTTTCTTGTGTCTGTGTTTATTTAAGTGTATGTATATGTATTCATTCATTTTCTTTTCGGCTTGTTCCCTTTATTAAACTTTGGTCGCCCCAGCGGAATGACCGCCAAAATGACCGCCAACTTCTCCCAGCCCTTCCAGCTGCAACCCATCTCTGGGAAACATCCACAGTCGTACACTATGGACAATTTAGCCTTCCCAATTTAACTGTACTGCATGTCTTTGGACTGTGGGGGAAACCGAGCACCCAGAGGAAACCCACGTGAAAGCGGGGAGAACATGCAAAAACAGAAAGGCCAACTGACCAAGTCAAGGCTCGAACCAGCAACCTTCTTGCTGTGAGGCGACAGTGCTACCCACTGCGCCACCATGTCGGCCCTGTGTGTGTGTGTATATATATATATATATATATATATATATATATATATATATATATATATATATATATATATATACAAATTAACTATATACCTATACAAATTTACATGAATTTAACAGTACTAATACTACTAATATTAATATAAATTATAAAAATAAAAAATATTAATAATATTATTATTAATTCTATTATTATTAAGCTTATTGTTGGTATTTTATTAAAAAAATTCAAGAAGCTTATACATAATGTACTTGTCTATCACAACACCAGAAATAAGATTATACAC